TGGCCCAGTGCTGCCAGTCTGCTTCCCCTGTTAGTCAGGATCCTTTGTACTCCCAAAAGAGGCCCTTTTAGGAGCAACATGGAAAAATAGGGAGCTTGTATGGATTTGGTGCATTGTCTGCACAGAGCAGTTTTTGACATCAAAGTCCTTCCTTTAGCCAGAAATGCCAAGAGTTGAACCTAGATCTTTCTGCATGGAAAGCAGGCACTCTGCCCACAGAGCCACAGTCCTTCCCATCAGACAACAACAGCACTGCGAATGAAAGACTGTAACATGTCTGCTAGCTGCTCCTCTAGTGTCCATGACAACTTGCATACACATGCACCTTTCATGAAGTGGCATTCACCTCTCCCAGCAACAGCCAACCAAACACAAAGGAGGCATCTCCTGTGTGGCTAATGGGAGATACCTTGTGACATTACCACACTGATTATATGTATTATACATTACCACACTGGTCATACATAGAACTCATTATCTCGCAGACAGCATAGGGATGTCACATTTCACATTCTCTCTCTGTCTAGGTTTTAAAATAGTTTTGCATGCAACAGGAACAGGTTAATCATTAACCCTGGCTGCTGCCACACTGCAGAATTAATGCAATTTGACACTGCTTTAACTGCCATGGCTCGATACTATGGAATCCTGGAATTTGTAATTTGTTGTGCCACCAGAGCTCTCTGAAATAAAAGCCCAAATACTGTATCTCACAAATCCCAGAACTCCATAGTATTAGCCATGGCAGTTAAAGAGGGTAAATACAAGTCACATTCTCTCAGGCTCTGAGAATGGCAATGATAAATTCCTTTGAATAAACTTGCCATGAAAACCCCATGATAGGTTCACCTTTAGTGGTTGCCTGCTTTCAAGTCATTTCTGACCTGTGGTGACCATAAAGTGAGCCTATCATGAGGTTTTCTTGGCAAGTTTCTTCAGAGGGGGTTTCCCACTGCTATCCTTAGAGGCTGAGACAATGTGACTTGCTCAAGATCACCTGGTGGATTTACATGGAGAAGCCAGGATTCAAATCCTGGTCTCCAGAGTTCTAGTCTAATGTTCAAACCACTTCACCATGCTGGCTTTGGGAGGCACACAACAGCAACAACAAAAGCGAACCTAGCAAGGGGGTTTCTTGCAAAATTTGTTTGGAAGGGGTTTGCCTTTGCCTTGTTCTGAAGCTGAGAGAGTATAATTTGCCCAAGGTCACCCAGCAGGTTTCCATGGCTGAGCTGCGATTTATCTCCCAGAGTCCTAGTCCAGCATGCAAACCACCATGCTGATTTAAAAAAAAAAACTACAATTCTGAAAATTATTCAGCCCAGCATATCTAGTCCAATTCTGGGATTCAGCCCAGCATGTCTAGTCCTAGAGATTCTGGGATTTGAGAAAAAAAAATTCTGAATGAATTTTTTTCCTTCACTCTAATGAAGCATAGGACGATGCAGTAGATTTTGCATTCAGGCATATTTTGCATATATCAGTCTTTGCCACTGTTATTACATCTTACAATTGAGATTTTTTTCCAGTAAATCTTTTATGAGCAAAAGACATAATGCAGACATTGTGCTTTCCATAACAAATCATTTTCTATTTGTAACAAAGGCAAGTGTTAATGCTTGAAATTTAAGTTTACAGCAAACTTTGGGCTTTAGATCATATTTGGCTTCCAAACTGATCTTGGCACTTGGGCATATCTTACACCTTTTTGGAAATATCCAAACAAGATGAGAGAAATAGAACTTGGAATCTCTGCACTTTTCATAAAGCAATGTACAACTTTGACACACAAATGGATGTAACCACCCCAAACTAAAATGGCTGATACTGATGTTGCTGCTTCAGTTGACAAGATGGATATTTTTGACTGACATATCCAGCCTGAGACATTTTGCAGCCTGAGGCAGAGTGACAAATGGCATCCTGTACATAAATTATTATGCCATCTGAGGCAGCCAATCCCATAGACACCTTCTCTTCTCCCTGACAGTAAAAACATAATAATAACAAAAGGAGTAAATTAGAATTTTCTTTTCTTAAATTACACACAAAATTTGCTGACTTAGGTGGTCATCTCACTCTGCCTAATAGTAGTACTGGCCCTTGTGGTAATGCAGAAATGTGACACAAAGTAGTTCTGAGGGCATCCTCTGCCATCCCACTTTTTCAATTTGCTTTTGCAATGTCCCTGTTTCTCTTGCTTACGTTTTCTCTTTGTCCTCAGCTTACTTGAATTTCTGCAAATTGAGTTCAAAGTGCAAAAGTTGTTTGCACTCAGTAAACTCAGCACCCGGGGGGGGGGGAGAGAGGAGGGTGTGAAATCTTGCCCTTCCCAGTGGGGTCAGGCAAAAGCAAATTGCTGCAGCCTCTCCTAGCTTCTAAATTCCTCCCCATTAATAAATTGTTTCATTTTGATGTTGTTTGGCCAAATGTGTTTTTGCTTTCATCTGAGAAATATTGGAGGGTATGGGAACTGTCACAGTAGCTGTTGCTTCTGCTGCAAATTCAAAAGGGTGCAGGATCATGGACAGCACAAAACAAAAGCCTTTGTTTTTGCTGAAAACCCTCCTTCCTCTTTTTCTTCCTTTCCTTTGTCTGGTCCCTCCAGGATTGTTTGTGGTTCCAATAAACAATTTGAATGCAAACAAACCATTTACAAAATTAAAAATTAAAGAAAGCCAATAAATTTAAAGTAATGTACAATGCAATGTTTAAATGAATTGTGTGTGTGTGTGTGTGTGTGTGTGTGTGCATGCACGTGTGTGTGTGTGTGGAATACATTAAATATAGCAGTCAAACTGACTTTGATTATTATAACTGTAAATCGATTTTACTGGATCTCTGGACCATAATAAAGGATTGTTTGGTTGATTAACTGATTAACATAAGCTACCACAAGGATCACGTAGGACAACCCCTTTCCAACACAAACACCTTCCAGTAAAATTAGCATGGCCAGAAAGGTTCTTGGGAAATTTCCGAAACATGGTCCTTGTTATGGAAAATCTTTAAGGGAAGGAGGCCTCTATTTCCAGGGTAGCTGTTGAGGAAAAAAAGTTTCTCTTCATATTCATGCTTTGGAAAGATTTTATTGCAGCTTAAACAATGGGAACAAATTAAACATCTGTGATATTGCTATATCCAGAAACTTTGTCTCATGTCTTTAATAATGATGTTCTTGTTCCAGGGGCATTTTGAATCTGCAGTCATTAATCTGGGGTCATAGCTGGGACTGGGACTCTTTATTCCTGCCACAATTATTTTGTGTGCATGTCTATGCCCATAAGAGAAAATAATATATAAAGCATGTTTTTGAGTTATGTGGGTTTATTTGCTGTCCTGTCCTCCCCCCTCTCACCCTGCCTAACACCCAAGAATGTTTCTCATTTGCAAAGTATTAACATTTCTCTGTTATACTGAGAAATATCCCCTTTGTGTTCTTTTGAAAAAGATTATTATTTAAAGCTGTTTTGTTCCCCAGTGCCTAAGCAGATCCTGCCCAAGATTTTCACTGCACTGAATGGGTCTGCAGGAATGTGTCAAATTCCTTGCATGCACAACCAGAAAGGACTCCCCCTTTCTCCATTCCTTGGGGAGGGGGTGCTGCTTCCCAGAAGATATCTGGGGGCACAATCAGGCATAAACAGTCTCAGTATAAAAGCCTAGTTGAAATCAGGGTACTGGAATGCAACAGAAAAGTAATTCTGTCCCAAAAGCAGAGCCAGCCAAGGCAAAGTAGACTTGCAGCCAACATAGGAAACTCAATTTTGGGTGTCTTGTAAGGAAAGGAGGAGGAGGAGGAGGAGAAGATGACCACCATCCCCATCATTTCTTATTTTTTTCTACTAGAGATGAAGAAAAGTGCTTGAGGAATTTTCTTGCCTCCTGTGCTACAATAGCAACAGCAAGTACATTTCTATACTGTTTATCAGTACACTTAGGCACTCCCTAAGCAGTTTACAATGTGTAAGCTAATTACCCCCATCAATCTGGGTATTCATTTTAGTGACTCACAAAAGGATGCAAGGCTGAGTGTGCCCTGAAGCCCTGCCAGGCATCGAACTCACAACCTTGGACTGTGAATGGCTGCAGTACTGGTATTTAACCAATGTACCACCACAGCTCCTGCACAGTAGTGACTGGTGGCTCCTTCATCAAAAGGGCAGTGAATTCAATCTTTAGAAGAACTAGCTCAGATGCTAAATATACAGTTGTCCCTCCATTTTCACAGACTTCAATTCCATGTCCCTTGCCTGTTTGTGGGCGGGAAACAGAGGGGGATAAAATGGGGCATGTGCCCCCATTGAAGCCCCTGGGGCTTGAATATTGGCAGTTTTCCATTTTTGTGGGGGGTCCGGAACAGATTCCCTGTGAAAACGGAGGGGCAACTCTATTTTGGGTTAGAGTTCCACACCTTGGATAGATCCTGTGATGTTTGTACAAGACCTGTGATATGAATTCACTCCCTCGCTGATATGGGAGTTGCCAGCCATCTCTGGTGTGAAGGCACTATGTGCCCTCAGAAAACAAAATGTCTTGAGCCATTCCTGCCAACAGTGTTTCCATCACTGAGCAAAGAGCTCAAACCAAACCCTTTGCTACATTTTTTTTATTTATTTAAATTTGTGTTGTGTGCCTCCAAGTCATTTCAAACTTATGGCAACCCAAAGAAAAACCTGTCATGTGGTTTTCTGGTGCTGAGAGAAGGTTACTCATCCAAGGTCACTGAATGGGTTTCCATGGCCAAGCAAGTTATTGAACCCTGAGCTCCAGAGTTGTAATCCAACACTCAAATAACTACACCACACTGACTTGGGGTTATTTATATAGCAGTCCTAGATATATTAAACTTTAGACAGACACTTTTCCCAAGGAATTGTCAATCTATTGGCTGTATCCAAATGAGGGTTTATGTCTGTGGAAAGTACTTCTGCTGAAGCAGACTGAAATGCTCACTGTTTATTGATCCTATGCCCAACAAAAACTGCCATATAACTATAACATATTCTATACTGTTTCAGCAGGCCCCCTGTCAAGAGTGGCTGATTCAATGGCACACAGTGTTGCAGTGGATAAGGAGCACTAGTGAAATAGGGAGGACTGAGTGCCTTGCCTCACACAAGTAGAAATGTCACTTTGAATCTCCCTGACTGATTGAGTGAATGAGTGAGTGACATTTCTTTGAGTGACATTTCAAGTCAGACAACGTATCCATGGATTCTGCATCCATA